GTGCACTGCAACAAAGAGTAGCCCCCGCTTGCTGCAACTAGAGAAAGCCCTTGAGCAGCAACGAAGACCCAGTACAGCAAAAAATTAAAAAATGTTTAAAAATTAATTAATTTTAAAAAAAAAGGAATCCCCCTTCCAATGCAGGGAACATGAGTTCGGTCCCTGGTCGGGGAACTAAGATCCCACATGCCGCGGGGCAACTAAGCCCATGCGCCACAACTACTGAGCCCGTGTGCTTCAACTTGAGAGCCTGTGTGCCACAAAACTACAGAGCCCACATGATCTGGAACCCACGCACCACAACTGGAGAGAGAAAACCCACACGTGAAAACTAGAGAGAAGCCCCGCGTGCCACAATGAAAGATCTCGCATACTGTAACAAAGATCCTGCATACCAAAGCTAAGACACACGCAGCCAAAAAAATAATAATAATAAAATTAATTAATTAATTTTTTTAAAAGAACCTGGCCTTTGCAGTTCAGTTGTTAGATTTTATCTTTCTCATCCTTAGGTCTAACTTCTATCAAGAGGTAAAATCAGGGCACAGAAATATAAGAACATGATAGTGAATATTTTTCTATACTATTTTGAAGGGATTTGAAAGAACAGTCTGACATTTGAAATTTGAACACAATTCAGGGCTATTCCATGTAAAACATGGTTTGGGTTTTTTTTATTAGTAAACAAAATAAATTTGTATGTATTTATGTATGATTTACTCGCATATACATTACTCTGTAAAATATATACATGCAAATCATTACAGTTTTTTTAACCACAATTAGAGATTATTTTCTTTTTCTTAAATTATATTTAATTGAAGTGTAGTTGATTTACAATGTTGTGTTAATTACTGCTATACAACAAAGTGATTCAGTTATACATATATATACGTATATATAGATATATATACACACATTTTTTTAAATTTATTTATGGCTGTGTTGGGTCTTCATTGCTGCGCACGGGCTTTCTCTAGTTGTGGCGAGTGGGGGCTACTCTTCGTTGCTGTGCGTGGGCTTCTCACTGCGGTGGCCTCTCCTGTTGTGGAGCACAGGCTCTAGGCACGTGGGCTTCAGTAGCTGCAACATGTGGGCTCAGTAGTTGGAGCTCATGGGCTCTAGAGTGCAGGCTCAGTAGTTGTGGTGCACGGGCTTAGTTGCTCCGTGGCATGTGGGATCCTCCCAACAAGGGATCGAACCCATGTCCCCTGCACTGGCAGGCGGATTCCCAACCACTGTGCCACCAGGGAAGTCCCTACACACACATTCTTATATATTCTTTTCCATTATGGTTTATCATAGGATCCTGAATATAGTTCTCTGTGCTATACAGTAGGACCTTGTTGTTTATCCATTCTATATATAAAAGCTTACACCTGGGGCTTCCCTGGTGGTGCAGTGGTTAAGAATCCACCTGCCAATGCAGGGGACATGGGTTCGAGCCCTGGACCGGGAAGATCCCACATGCCGTGGAGCAACTAAGCCCGTGCACCACAACTACGGAGCCTGCGCTCTAGAGCCCACGAACCACAGCTACTGAGCCCGCACGCTACAACTACTGAAGCCTGTGCGCCTAGAGCCCATGCTCCACAACAAGAGAAGCCACTGCAATGAGAAGCCCGTGCACCGCAATGAAGAGTAGCCCCCGCTCTCTGCAACTAAAGAAAGCCTGCGCACAGCAACGAAGACCCAATGCAGCCAAAAATAAATAAATTAATTAATTAAATTTTTTTTTAAATGCTTGCATCTGCTAACCCCAACCTCTCACTCCACCCCTCCCCCAACTCCCTCCCCCTTGGCAACCACCAATCTGTTCTCTATGTCCGTGATTCTGTTTCTGTTTCATAGGAGATTATCATTTTCTTATTAACTAGTTTTCTAGTTAAAGTAAGGGCCAAGAGGGACTTCCCTGGTAGTCCAGTGGTTAAGACTCCATGCTCCCAATTCAGGGGACCCGGGTTCGATTCCTGGTTGGGGAACTAAGATCCCACATACCACAACTAAGCCTGCGTGCTGCAACTAGAGAAGTCCACACGCCACAACTAGAAAAGCCCATATGCCACAACGAAGACCCAGCACAGCCAAAATAAATAAATAAAAATTTGAAAAAATTATCTCTTAAAAAAATAAAAATAAGGGCCAAGAAGTTCAATTTACCCATTTACACTAATGTTTGGAAAACTCAACATGATGAATCTTTTCAAAAGCAATCTCCTAAAAGACCGAATTAGAAAACAGTTAAGTAAAGCACAGTTATTCTAAAATGGGGCTATGGGGAATTCCCTGGTGGTCCAGTGGTTAGGACTCTGTGCTTCCACTGCAGGGGACCCAGGTTCGATCTTTGGTGGGGGCACTAAGACCCACAAGCCACCTGGTGAGGAAATAAATAAATAAATAAATAAATAGATAAATAAATAAAATGGGGCTATGGCTTGGGAACTGCTCTTCCCCCAGTCATTTAAACTGGTTCAGTAGTTGTATTCAGCTACTAGAGAATTGGATAGTTGTTATGAATCCTGTATTAACTTTACAATTTATTTGAATGCCTACTATGTGCCAGAGACTGCTGTATGCTTCATATATATCATTTTACTTGTTTGTCATAGAAACTGTGGATGCAAGTCGTAATATCACTTTGCATTAAAGAAAACTAAGGCTTATAGAGGAGGAAAAAAAGAGTTTTGCCCAAGATCATGAGGCAGATGAGTGATGGCACCTGGACTTGAGCTTCAAAGCCTTGCTTTTTTTGTTTGTTTGTTTGTTTTTTGCGGTATGCGGGCCTCTCACTGTTGTGGCCTCTCCCGTTGCGGAGCACAGACTCCAGACGCGCAGGCTCAGCGGCCATGGCTCACGGGCCCAGCTGCTCCGTGGCATGTGGGATCTTCCCGGACCGGAGCACGAACCCGTGTCCCTTGCATCGGCAGGCGGACTCTCAACCACTGTGCCACCAGGGAAGCCCCAAAGCCCTGCTTTTTAATCACTGTCACTGAAATCTTCCTCTTTATTGTTTAACTATACCAGGACCAAAGAAGCTGCTAACTCTGTTTAGTTAATTCTTGTCAGGAAGAGAAGGACAGCAAGAACTGTGGGGAAAAATCAACAAAAACAAAAATGAAAGTACTGAGGTATACTGGAAAAGACCAGAAGACTTGGAAGGAGACTTGAGTTTGCACTTGGCTCGGTTACTTAGCTCATATATCACTTTCTTAGGAAAGCCTTTCCCTACTCCTTGTTTGTCTCTATTAGGACACTGAACTGATTGCAGTGATTCTAAGGTGTACATCTTTTTCAACATTTCTAAAATCTGGACGCGTCTTATAATTGTTGGTGTCTTAAAATTAATTGACAGTGTTTATCCTTAATTATTGGTACGTAAAATAAGGATGTGATTTACCATTAATGGCATCTTAGATTTGATGAGTGCAGTATTTGTTTACATGTGTTCCCATGAAAATGTTTACATCAGTCCCATAGTTTTTAAATAACAGGTATATGCAGTGATTTTTCTGATTTCTGTTCTAATCCTCTTTTAAGCTCTAGCCCTGTATGTTGAATAAATTTTCCTTTGATTTCACAAGGACCACAGATTCAGTGTATCTACTTTCCAACTCAACATGTCTTCTAGTATATTCCCACATCTCAGTAAATGGTATCTACACCTGTAGAAGCTAAAAAGCTAGAAGTCCCACTGCCAGGGTTTGAATACCAGTTCCACCCTATACTAGTTCTGTGAGTACACAGTGAAGCATGTCACCTTTATTCTTCATTTGTAAAATGGGAAGCATAATAATACCTACCTCTCAGGATTATTAAGATGGTAAAACATCGAGTAAATATTAGCTGCTGCTAGTCTTCAACATATATATTCGTGACCTTTTTCCTTCCTCTGTACATGTAATTCATCGTCAATCCTGTGATAAGTAGGCCTTTCACAATATCCCAGATCCATCCTCTTTTTTATCTGCTGCTTCTCCAGTCCAAGCCCCTGTTATAGCCTGTAATAACTAATCTGGTAGCTTCTCCTTTTTCCCATCTTTGATCCATTCAATACATACACCAGTCAGAGCCATCTTTTAAATCAGATTATGCTACGTCTTAAAACCCCTCCCAATGCACTTGGTATAAAACCCCCAATCCTTAATATGGTGTATATTGTTCTCACTTTTCTGCCTGGCCTCTGCCTACTCTTTCATCCTCATCTTATGCCACTCTGCCTCATGTTACTCATTTCTCCCAAAAGTGACTCCCACTCATCCTTTTGATTTCAGCTGAAATGTCACTTTCTCAAAGACATTCCCTTATCTTCATAACTAAATTAGGTTCTTCAGTTCTAATATATAGTCTTTTATATTGAATTTACACCTTTCATAGTTGGTGGTGATCATTTCCTTCCCAACTGAAGGTAAATTATTTCCCCAAAGTCATAGAGCTAGTTATGGTAGGATTGGAATGCCAGCCTAGGACTGGCCAACTAAAGCTGTGCCATTTCCATGATCCTTCCTTTGCTTCCTTGAGAGCAGAAAAGAGCATATGAATCAATGTGCTAGCCTTTAAAAATATGGCCCAACTGCTCTCCTTTCTTTCCATTTAACCTTCACGTTGTTCCTTAAATATCCATCTCTCTGTGAGCCTTCACTCTCCCAAATTAGATTATAAACTGTTTGAAGTAGGATCTGTTTTTTATATGTTATACACCTAGCATTTACATAAGTTACCCTGCATATAATAGATACTCAAAAATAGTTTGTCTTAGAGATGCTAAAGAAAAACAATTTTTTAATCCATTTAATTTTTTCAGGGTTTGGAGCTATCTCATGAAGGAATTTACTACCTCATTCCATATTCTTCTACCCATCAGTGACAATATATTTTACATGTCCATATTGTGAATAGAACTGCCTAAAATGATTTTTAAATGAGTAGTTTGTGTCTTCATGGATTATTATGCTTGTTTCACTGGAAAAGAATTAACCTTAAGTATTTTTGCTTTGTTTCAGGAATTGAGTGATCTACAGCGCGACCCACCTGCTCACTGTTCGGCTGGACCTGTGGGAGATGACTGTAAGCTTTGCTCTCTTGCTAGGATTTTGCTACCATTAATAATACAGGTTTGAACACTTGTTAATGACTCCAAAACTCCTTTGTTTGTTTCAGTGTTCCACTGGCAAGCAACTATTATGGGGCCTGTAAGTATGATTCATTTGTGTGAAATTAATCCCCTCAGCCATCCTTCATTCTTGGCATTTCACCTTTTATCAGATGTTTTTGGCTAGGGTTGAACTTTCTTGTACTCTGAATCTCTCAGAAAGCAAAATATGAGTAAAGGATTTATGATGATTTTCTAGAGCCCTGGTGGCAAATACTTGCTAGGAACACATTTACAACACTTTGCCAAATCCTTGATCATTATGCATAATAATGAATCACCCACAATTTGCAACCAGGCTGCGTGTTTATCTTTTTTTAAACAGAAAGTCAGTTGTTCAGAACTAAGTGTAATTACTCTCACATCAACATTTTAGTAGGTTAGAAATAAGTCTAATTAACCCAATAATGGAATTCCTACAAGTAACAAGTATCAATTTGCAATAAGTTTCATCACTGTTCCTGTGTGTGAGAGGAACGGATAAAATATTGCAATGGCTCTGTTGTTGCCACATCATGAATTTGCCTCTTTTGTTGCATTGTCCTGAACTCAGAATTACCTGCTATTCTATGACTGGCTTCTCTTCATACTTATTACCTTTGTTAAGATTATTTCCTTCTACACCTGAGAAGCAGTTATGACTTTTCTTTCTGTGGGCAAAAATCTGATTGCATAAGAATGGGCACTGATAGCTCAAATCTACTTTCTGAGTAAAGACTGCATTAGTAACATGTTTCCGTTAACATCATTTTCTCCTCCCTCCCTTGAAAGATCTTTATCTAGTAAGCCATAGTGTTGTTTTTTGTTTTGTTTTGTTTTTTGCGGTATGCGGGCCTCTCACTGTTGTGGCCTCTCCCATTGCGGAGCACAGGCTCCGGAGGCTCAGCAGCCATGGCTCACGGGCCCAGCCGCTCCGCGGCATGTGGGATCTTCCCAGACCGGGGCACAAACCCGTGTCCCCTGCATCAGCAGGTGGACTCTCAACCACTGCACCACCAGGGAAGCCCAGCCATAGTGTTTTTAATCATATGGCCTCATGCTTAGCTTTTAAAAAATACAACAGTTACTGAATTTTCAGAGCAGGAGTCCTGAGCAAGTGTCTTAAATTACTACATTGTTTTATTAAGTTAGTTTTTTAAAGGGTGAAGTGCAACATATTTATTTAACAACTTTTAATAAGAATCTAGTTATTTGATTTTCATTGCTTAACAAGAACCTGCAAAATAATATCAAGTCTTACCCTTACCATTTGAATTATAGCCCATCACAAATATTTCTCAGGTGAATCACATGTAGCAAATGGTTACAATTATGTTACTCATACCCTCTTTATTGTAGTAATGTAAATATGCCACTCAATAATATAATTTGAACATCTAAGAAGACCATATCTGTTGATTGTAATTAACTTACATTTTCTACATTCCTTATAATTTTTGATGAACTGGAATTAAACTATGTGTATAGTAAGAATAATTATACGGTACAGTCCTCTAATGTATATGTAGAAACTTAAGGAGGAAGTAATGATAGCCTTGCTATTATTACCAAAATGTTAATATACATGATACTTTTAATTAAATATAAATGAATTAAAATAGAATTTAAGGTATTTTTGCTACTTTTTTCCCCCTTTTCCTTTTTTTTAATCATCCTTTTTTTTTCTTGCTTGTAACACTATAAGTATTTCCTAATTGCTATAAAGAGATATGGCCAAACTTAAATTCCTCTTGTAAAGTTCATTCCTAATTAGATAATTCTATGAAACTGAATTTATCTAGTTTTGTTTGGGGCTTTTTTGCATTTCCCACGTTGTTTTGTAAACTGCTACTAAGTGAAGATTTGAGGTCTAAATTATGTAACAGTGTCACTTAGCCTTTTCTTTTTATAAGTTGGTCCTTTCAGTTCATCTCTGTTCTTGCCCCTTAAAGGATCATGAGAACTTAAGTTTTATAATTAAGAAGAAAAACACTAGCCTCAATCCTTTTCTTTTATACTGATTACTGCTACAGAAAATTATTCTTTTCTCACAGCAGTCTTGTGTGTTTACTGATCTTTAATAGTCTATACTCATGAACAGATTTGTTTGGGCAAGTCACACCACTCCACTGTGTATGTCCTATTTTTGTTTTGTTTTAAACTATGATGTTGGCATGATTGTTGGAAAGTCCTCCTTCATGCCTGCAAAGACAAACCTGTTTTTAAGATAAATGATTTGAACTTATGACAAAATGATGGCATTTTTTTCAAACTGGTATATTTGGAGGGAATCATCTTGGGTTACTAATAATAAATATAGTAATCAAAACACTGATGTGATTATTTTGTAATTTCAGCCTGATAGTGCATATCAAGGTGGAGTCTTCTTTCTCACTGTACATTTTCCGACAGACTATCCTTTTAAACCACCAAAGGTATTTTTATTTTTATGATTGACGTGACTCCTGTGTCAGGGGTTTTACTCTCTATCCAGAGATATTTTCATGAAAAGACTGTGGGTAGGTTAGCATGTTCAAACTGTTCTGTAAAATCAATGAATCTAAAATGCTTTCTTACTCAAATATTGTATTATGTCTGTAAACAGAAGGCAGTATCTGTTAGGCTAGAAATTAGCTTCCCTACCTGTCTTTCCCTCTGCATTAGATATGTGTAGTTTGGGAAGTTTTTATGGTCAAGAGTTAGACTCTTCCATTCAGGGGATTATCTTTCCTAGGTTGACCCTTCTTTGTCAGTTTTTAAGTATTCAACAAATATTTATTGAGCACCTACCATGTTCTGTTGCATTGGGGAATACAAAAGTAAAAAGACATAGCCCTTTTGTTTAGTGAGGAAAGATTAAAACACATTCTTATTAAATTTAGCTTAAATCTAAAGAGGAAGCCAACAAATGATGGGGGTGTCAGTGAGGGAGAAAATCATTAACAAATTCTGTCACTGAGGAAATATTTACTTTAGATTTTTAAAAACACCTAATTAACATTACATATGAAACGATGTAACAACTCTCGTGGAAGATTAGAATTCTTGGTGGATTTGTTAGGGCAGGTAATAAGCTGGGGCCCCTCAACTTTCCTCTGGAATAAGGTCAGCAGCCTATTTCTAGATCCAGGTATCAACTGATAATCAAATTAAGAAAAGGATTGCTTTGAGGGTTGATGAAAGCCATGGTTAATTACTTCAGGTGCTACTCGACCAGTCATACCACCTATTATAGACTTATTTATCACACTTTCCAAAATACTCCTCAGTTCCTTGGGGTTGGGGAGAGCAGAAAACTGACTTTGCTTTCACATTATCAGTAGCTAAAGCCACGTGCACATAAAGTAGATGCTCATCCAATTTGTGTTGAATACATCTCTCCTCTAAGATCACATAAAATTGAGGACATTTTACCCTAGAGCAAATTGGTTCTGTTTGCTTTCATAGTTCATGGATTGTCACAGTTTTGTTTTGTTTTGTTTTATGTTTAGATTGCTTTCACAACAAAAATTTACCATCCAAACATAAACAGTAATGGAAGTATTTGTCTTGATATCCTGAGGTCACAATGGTCACCAGCTCTGACTGTATCAAAAGGTAATTTCATTTATCAGATTTACAACAGTTGATAACAGTGAGAGAGGAAAAATACAGCAGAAATATCTTAGGGACCAAAGTTTAAAAAAACCAATCTACTGTGTTTTCTTCTGCTTTGCTTTTGCTTTGCTTTCATAGCTTTTATATTACTCTTGCTTGGGGGGGTTGATGGACAGATCTAAGTGATGAAATGAGAGAAATTTAAAATGTTAGAACTAGGAATTTGGGGATAAGACTGTTGACATTTCACCCCTTTAGTTTGGGCTTTATCTTTAAAAAGAAAGAGACAGGGACAGAGAGACACAGAAGTGAAAATAAGATTTTAGAACCAGATGTCCCATTCATTAAATGGAATTATTTGTTGACATGATGAGTAAAGCTTTACATCTCCTTTACTTCATCTCAGAGGAAATGTCAGATTGGCAGATAAAGTAAATGATTTAAAATGAAAGACAGGAATTCCCTGGCAGTCCAGTAATTAGGACTCCACGCTTTCCCTGCCGAGGGCCCAGCTTCAATCCCTTGTCGGGGAACTAAGATCCCACAAGCTGCATGGTGTGGCCAAAAAAATGAAAGACATATTTCACACTTTAGAGTAATGTAGTATATATAGCATGTTAGTCTAAACTTCAAATAATCAGTAGCATCATTGTAAGGACTGATACATAATCCATGCAGATTCTCAACTTTCACAGTTGCATAGCATTATTCTTTGCTGAATTATGAGATGTGTATATAGGGCATCTGAAGCCGTTTGTTTCATTAGCTAATGTTATTTGCTTTGCCAGCCTCTTAATTTTGTCTTGTTTCTCTAACAGAAAAGAGCCTGAGTTATTGTTTTGAATTAGAACCATCTACCCCTGAAAGCAACTTGGTAGTTTTCCCTTTTTATAAAATTTAAGAAAACTGTTTCTCTTGAAGGATTTGGGGGAGGAATCCATGGTCATTAAAAAAATTTTTTTAAATAAATGCTACCTGAATATATAGCTTGTTTTAAAAATTGATAAGGTTTAGAGGAAGCAGTGTCCATAGCCATGATTATTTCAAGTATTAGATAAGTAACAGCCGTTCAGATCGGTTAGTTATTCATGAATGGCAATTTTTCTGATCTAACATATCCCTATAAAACGTTCATGTAGATTCTAGTGTTCTTTTAAAAATCTTTCACATACTATAACTGTTACACACTAGATATAGGAAAGATATTGTGTCATAGGGTTTTTCAAATTAATATTCTGTTTCCTGGAATAGGATCACAAAATGAAATTCATTTAGCATATGCAGCTAAATACTTAGAGAGCGCAGACTGCCAGATGTTGAATACTTACCTTCTGCCGTTGGTCGCTTTTTATAAAAAATAGTTTTGTTAGCTTCTAGAAACTGTCCTTTAAGAACAGTTTCAAACAGCCTCAGTTTCCTCATATGTCAAATGGGGATTATAATAGTATTACCACATATGGTTACTATGCAACTAGCACACAGTAAGCATTCAAATGGATGTTATATAGTTATCTTTTTCCTTATCTGAAAACATTTGATTTGTGTGCATAATAATGAAATCAGGGCACAGGGCTCTTGGCAGCAGGAGTGGGGAGATGAGGAACTTCCCTCTTGCCTATTTTATAAAGTAGCTTATATTTTCTTTATTTGTACATTTTTCACTTTTTAATATTTTAAATGTCTTATTTCGCTTTTTATCATGAGTTTAGTTTGGAAACTTTCTGGAGGTGTGAGCCCAGATAACTTACCCAGTTGGTTTAATATACAGGCTTGAAATTCCATTGGGCAGATGAAAGTTTAAAAAGATGAATGAAATATTAGTTTTTGTTAGCCCGTAGCACCCCCTTTCCAAGTCATTAAAAATCAACTCTGGGGCTTCCCTGGTGGCGCAGTGGTTGAGAATCTGCCTGGACACGGGTTCGAGCCTTGGTCTGGGAGGATCCCACATGCCGCAGAGCAACTAGGCCCGTGAGCCACAACTACTGAGCCTGCGCGTCTGGAGCCTGTGCTCCGCAACAAGAGAGGCCGCGATAGTGAGAGGCCCGCGCACCGCGATGACGAGTGGCCCCCGCTTGCCACAACTAGAGAAAGCCCTCGCACAGAAACGAAGACCCAACACAGCAAAAATAAATAAATAAATTAATAAACTCCGACCCCCAACGTCTTCTTTAAAACAAACAAACAAAAAAAGAATCAACTCTGCCTTCCTTATAAATTCACCTTTGGATTTGTAAGAGTAGGAAAAGATAAAGGAACATAGTAGAGGAAGGTGAAGGTGGAATGTTGTTCCAAAGATACCATGTATCCCCTCAGAAGTGGTGGCATGGAAGCAGACAAATGAGGAACCAGAGTCCTTGTTTCCTTCTTTTTCAGACACTTAGTTGTTTATTTTTTTAAGTGTAGCTATTTGCATTAGGATTTTGATACAACATGCAAGAAACAACTACTATAATTTATCAATTTTCATTTATATTTAAAAATACACAAGTTATGTAATGATAGCTGTGCCAATTTTTTTTTTTTTTTTTTTTTTTTTTGCGGTACGAGAGCCCCTCACTGTTGTGGCCTCTACCGCCGCGGAGCACAGGCTCCGGACACGCAGGCCCAGCGGCCATGGCTCACGGGCCCAGCCGCTCCGCAGCATGTGGGATCCTCCCGGACCTGGGCACGAACCCGCATCCCCTGCATCGGCAGGCGGACTCCCAACCACTGCACCACCAGGGAAGCCCATGCCTATTATTTTTAAATGCATTTGCCACAAATAATGTACATGGAATAAAAAAAATTCACTGAAAATAATCTTACAGATATTCCTTCTTTAGCTCTAAGCCCAAGTAAAACAGTGCATGAGCTTCATCTCCCAAAGCGGTTTGAACTGTTAACTGTAATTTGATTGCTTTACCTTGAACTGTTTAGGACACAGATTTTCTGCATTAAAGTAGAATAAAAGTGGACAGTTTTCTTATTAAAGTAAAAAAATATCTCTAAGAAACATCTAAAGTTAGGATGCTATTCTAATATTTTTCCAACTATGTACCATCCGGGGTATATGTGTGTTACCTAAAAAATATTTTTGTAGAGAACTCTTGAGTTTAAAAGTTAATAGCTACTTTGGAGGTTCACATTTTTAAAATAAATAGAAATTCAAATAGAATTTAAAATTGCAAAAGTGATAATTTTGTATTATATACACTGTATGGTAATTTTGTAATTTAAAAAATTAAGGATATTTGCTGCCAACCAAAATTAATCTCAAATGTAATTTAATGTGTTCATTTTGTTTTTTCTTTGTAAGTTTATTGTCTGTTCAGTAAAATTATTTTCACATGTGTAATTCATATAAAGTAGAAAGATCATTACTTAATATGATGTTCTCTTTTAAATCTAGTTTTATTGTCCATATGTTCTCTGCTTTGTGACCCTAATCCAGATGACCCCTTAGTACCAGATATTGCACAAATCTATAAATCAGACAAAGAAAAGTAAGTGTTTGCTTATATTAGTTTCTATTTGGGTGCATTTCTATGTAGTCTGCCAAAACATAAGTATTATCAATGTATTGAAGTACATTTAGTTATGCTTATTGTGTTTATGTTAAGTTTGTTTATCTATCCAGTGGAGTAAACCTTTCTTTTTAAATTCTGTTAACTCCTTTTACAAAAAAATCTCATCCCTTCCCACTTTTTGTTTCATCCTTTACTATTTAATAGTACTTGTTCTGCATTTACATAGTATGCATGTTTTTTGATAGTAACTATCAAACTATCTATAATTCTAAGTAGTAAATTTAAAAAGTTGATAATTGGAAATTACTGAATATCATATTCCTTACCTTCTCCCAGGAAAAGTTATCCTTAACTACCCCTAAACTGACCTAATTTTCAAGGTGCCACATCTTGCTGGCACCATTGATTCATTTGCATTTTACAGATAATGACCATTCAGGGTTGTCATTTACAGATTTGTATTAGAAATTGATTTCTTTATTTCGTTGTGTATAACTTAGGTACGTTTTCATATAAGTTGTAAAGAGATCCATTAGTTTAAAAAATCACTCATGTTTTCTGTTTTATTTATGCATGAACCTAAGTCACATTGACCCAATAATTGGTGTATGTATGATTATTGCAGTTAAGCATAAAAAAGGTATACAGTTTTACATAGATCTTCTAAAAGATTTAATTTGTATGTTTTTACTATATCCCTTTTGTATGTCTACAGATACAACAGACACGCAAGAGAATGGACTCAGAAATATGCAATGTAAAATCAAAAAAATTTTCATATATACCAGAGTACTGTAAAATCTAGGTTTTTTTCAACATTAGCAGTAAATCGAGCACCGTTTACTGTTTCATTGTACCATGAAATCCTTTGATTTTTACCCATTTTAAATGTATTTCTGAAGCAAGACAAAACAAACTTCCAAAAATATTCTTGAGACTGTGATGAGAGCATTTATCATTTTGTATGCATTGAGAAAGACATTTATTATGGTTTTTAAGATACTTGGACATCTGCATCTTCAGCTTACAAGATCTACAATGCATCTGAAAAGCAACCAAATTATTTTTTGCTGAAACTAGATGTTTTTACATGAAAAATACTGTATGTGTTGTCTAAGATGTCATCAGTTATATAAATCTGTATTCAGATTTCATTCTTTGTTAGCTCACTTTATAATTTGTATTTTTTTACTGTATAGACTAAATATATTCTATTTACATGTATGTCAACTCGTTACTTTTTTCCTGTGAACAGTATTGAAAAAACCCAACAGCTGATAATGAAATGAATTAACTGTCCGTCTCCCTTGTCTTAGGGTATTCTGTAGATTGATTGCAGATTCCTTAAACCTGAAATGATCTTTACACTGTAATTCTCAGTATACTGATTATGGAGAAACACTTGTTTTGATCTTGTTATACTTGACTTAACTTTATTACAATGTGAATTAATTGCACTGCTAAGTAGGAAGACGTGTAACTTTTATTTGTTGCTATTCACATCAGAATTTTTTTCTGTATAGGCAATATTATATTGACACCTTTTACAGATCTTAATGTAGCTTTTTCCATTTAAATAAAATGCTTTTTCTACTATTTGTCTTGATTACTTAAAAAGATAAAAAATTACTTTATAAGTAAGGATCAATACTCTATATAAAATTTTGCATGGAAATTAATTCCAAATTGTAAGAATGAAGTCTGTTGTATTTGGCACTAATCACCATTAATTATATAAATTTTATTGCTTTAGGTTTGTATTGATATCTGTTTACTAAATTGTCAATCTAGAGGATGATATACACTGGTCCCTTGTTATTGAAAAGAATTTAGGGTATGTTGGCATTTGTCTTGGATCACATCTAAAATGAATTATTTTCTAAGGTACTGAGATGAATGTAAGACAGTGTCACCTACATTGAAGAAAAGTCTTTATAGACCTGAAGAATAATTAGGTAATTCATTAAAATGCCCCTCTAGATATAACTGATGTTGTATTTCTTAACATTTTAAAATCTAGAATTTCTAAAATAGAATTTTAATGCCATCACAGTTTGAAAGAGGACATCCATTTTTTACCGTAGAAGTTATACAGAAAATTCTAAAATGACACTTTCCCTCTGTTTTATAAATTGTCAGTTAAAATGATTTAAATGAGCAGGTTATCTTTGCAGATTTTATAGAAAGTTCTAATGTTTTAACTTGGAAAAAAAATGTCTCTAATTATTAGCATGCTTACCAAACTTGAGTGTCATTTTTAAGAAGAGTTGTAGCTCTTCTGATTATTTCAGTAGCTGTATAAGTGTACAAAAATCTGTGATGGGTGTAGTCATTAGCAAAGAATGTAAATCACTTAAGTATTTTACCATGGTTCATTATTATAAAGCACAAAATAACCCATTGTTAAAAAATGTGTTTTTATAAATGAATGTAAAATAATTAAATGAATTGTGAAATGGATGTTTAAGAAAATATAGGTTTAAAAAGTAACTATATTAAGTGATGTCTTGAAACAGCCATATCATGAAGAATACTACTATGTTATTATAAGCTACATTGGCCCAGAATTTGAACACTCAACATCATTAGGTTTAAGTATTTAGTATATTTTGATAATAAAGGGTTTTGTTTCTTGAATATCTTTCACTTTTTAAAAAACTTTTGTGTGGCATTTATTTTTGGAAATGTCTTTTTTTTTTCTGTATTAAAGTTTTGAAACTTGCCTAACACTAACTCTGTTTGCCTTTGCTTACATCTGAGTTGTACAACCACTCTCTTGAGGAGTGAGCACAAGTTCTCATAATTAATTTAAAAATCTTAGAAGTTCAGCAATGGCATAATGATCAGCCAGATCAGTATTTTGGGTTTGTTGTTTTGTTTAATTCTAACAAAGGGTACATCAGTTACCTAACTGTAAATCTGAAGCCAAGGACCTTCCTCCATAGATCAACCATTAATTTAAGGACCTCCTGGGAGTGAGGAAAATGGAAAGTCTTTTGGAGTTTTATGATCCTACCTCTTGAAGTCTTGGATTCTGAACACTCGTAACTGCCACATACAATAAATCCATGATACAGGCTGTAAGGGGTAACCTCACGCTCATCCCCCCAACTATCTCTAATTCCTGAACAAGCTTTACACATGCATATGTAAATCATATACAATTATTCATTTTTGCTTTACGTTATACCCCCACCCCTCCATGAACTCTGTTAGGGAAAATTTTAAATTTACTTTGTCAGTTAAGCAATTTCAAATGATCAAAAGGTATTAGGTGAGAAACACAAACACAAAGCACCAGGGCAACCCTAAGAGTTAATATTCAGAGTAACTTTTGGGGCTTCCCTGGTGGTGCAGTCGTTAAGAATCCGCCTGCCAATGCAGGGGACATGGGTTCAAGCCCTGGTCCGGGAAGATCCCACATGCTGTGGAGCAACTAAGCCCGTGCACCACAACTACTGAGCCTGCGCTCTAGAGCCCGCAAGCCACAACTACTGAGCCCACGTGCTACAACTACTGAAGCCCGCGCGCCCAGAGCCCATGCTTTGCAACAAGAGAAGCCACCGCAATGAGAAGCCCGCGCACCGCAATGAAGAGTAGCCCCTGCTCGCTGCAACTAGGGAAAGTCCGTGCGCAGCAACGAAGACCCAATGCAGCCCAAAATAAAAAGAGTAATTTTTTTAAAACTTAATAAAAACAATACCACATGTAGTTTTTCATTTCTCATTATTTTATCACAATGATATGTTTATCTTCTTTGTACATGATTCCAGTCATTGATGTTTCACAGAATCCTGCTCTCTCACAGTTCTGTATTTTTAAGGTGGAAAGATTGGGGAAATGAATTTTCCTCTCGGATTAAGAGAGATTCTTGGTGAAGCTATTTATATCCTGTCTCTTTGTTGGTAGTCATTTTGAACTGGATTCAGAGTCCAGTCCTATGTTTTAAAATTGGAGTTCTGTAGTAGAATCATTGGTCCTGTTACTCATTTTTATTAGGACTAGCCATGGAAAATGTGATTAATACTCTAGCCACGGCCATATAGCTTCAGTGTATTCAAATTGTTGACTTTGGTCTGTTAAGATACAGCACTTATCTTTTTAGTTTAAATCTTTTGTGGTTATTAATATAATAAAATAACAAACAGAATTTTAAAAGTTTACTTCTAGCACTCTATCAATGTAAACTATGCCAAAAATTTTCTTTAAAGCAGAAGTTTAATTGCAGTTTAATAGCCCTAAAATGTAATGCATATTATTTGTGAAAGTTCCAGTTTTTTACAGTGCTTCTCTTTGCCTGTTCTGACAGTTGTGTTTTACAAACAGGGCAGCAGGTAGAGATTCATCTAATTTCACTTGTAAAAATTCATCTGTATAGATAACTAGTCATTTCTAAAAAAAAATTTTTTTTTTTGTACTGACATCTGCAAACTCCTAAACTGTATATTGATACACTTTGACCAGGAGTTTTTTCAGTAGTAGTGATAACTGAAAATTTGTAGACAGCTGACGTTTTGGGTAATAGAAATAATTTGTAACACAATAGTGTTTTATCACTTATTTGTATCATGTTACATTTAAATTTCTGCTCTCATTATCCTGTTATATATGTAAGAATGTGGTTTTAAATTGTAAATGAACTGAACTAATAGGAAGAGGGAATATTCACGTAAAAGTTCTAGCACTTGGAGGCATTTTTATAAGATACATTTTTTAAAAAAACTTAGCGCTCTCTTAGGTTCTACCGTTGTAGAGGGAGGAATGTGCCTTTCTTACCCCAGGAGGAAGTTGCTTTTATTATGATGGCACATGTTCTGAGCTATGCTTCCTCATATCATTTGCTTGCTTTTGTTAAAATCTTTTTAGTGCAAAAGATCACTGTGAGTTGCATGTTAAGATTTTATTGTAAACTTAATATACATATTGTGGGGAACAGTTGTGACACCACTTGTGTAAGCACTCCTGATACACCCGTTTAGGTGGTCCAGTGACCACCCACACATTCAGTGTGTCAATAGAAGAAGTCACCAGACTAAGCATATGTTCATACTCACAGCTAAGATTTATTATAGCGACACAGCAAAGATACACAGCTCCCTCAGTAAGGGGAAAAGACAGATCATGAAGGAAACCATGAAGCTTTCTCTGAAGGGGCCACACAGAGCTCACTCTCCCTCCAACAGTGAAATGCAGTAACACAGGAACAATGTTTCTGCCCAGGGAAGCCTGTTTGAAATGCAAAGTCCAAGGGTTTTAATAGGGGCTAAACCATGTAGGCACCCTTTGCTCACCAAAACTCCAGGCTCCCAGAAGGTAAGCAGGTGTTCACTGAAATCACATTGTTTATTTAAAAAGTCTAGTCAGGCTAGCATAGCAGATAGAACCTTATATCACATAGGGAAAGTTTTAAAAGCCGTCTTCCTTGATGCCAGCTGAAGGCCAACCTGGTAAGCCCTTCTAAAAATCAGGCCTGCACTATTCGTTGAAAAGACTGTTCTTTCCCCTTGAAAAGGTCTCTGTACCCTTGTCGAAAATCAACTGACCCTAGAGGTTTTTTATGGTCTCTGAATTCTGTTCTAATGACCTGTATGCTAACACCACACTACATTGATGACTGTAGCTGCATAGTAACTTTCGAAATCAAGAAGTGTGGATTTTCCAACTTTGTTCTTTTACAATATTGTTCTGACTATTCACATCCCTCGTGATTCAAAATGCACTTTAGGATCAGCTTTTCCATTTCTTCTGAGATTTTCATTGAGGTTTTATTGGATCTCTAGGGCAGTTTTGGTAAAGTTGGCATTTTTGTCCTGGTTATCTATTGCTGAATGACAAACCACTCTCAAATAAGTGATATAAAAGAACAGTTCTTGCTCATAAATTCTGTTGGGTCAGGAATTGGAATGGGGCACAGTAGGGAGGGCTTGTCTATTCCATGTACTTAGGGCCTCAGCTCAGGTGATTCAAATGGCTGGAGGCGGAAATCATTGAGAGGCTTCTGAGATGTTGGCACCTGGATGAGCACTGTCTACTAGAGCACTTATTAAAAGCCTTTCTAGGACTTCCCTGGTGGCGCAGTGGTTAAGAGTCTGCCTGCCAATGCAGGGGACATGGGTTCGATCCCTGGTCCGGGAAGATCCCGCATGCCACGGAGCAAATAAGCCCCTGTGCCACAACTACTGAGCTTGCGCTCTAGAGCCCATGAGCCACAACTACTGAGCCTGCATGCCTAGAGCCTGTACTCTGCAACGAGAAGCCACCGCAATGAGAAGCCTGTGCACCACAATGAAGAGTAGCCCCTGCTTGCTGCAACTAGAGAAAGCCCGTGCAGAGCAACGAAGACCCAATGCAGCCAAAAAATAAATAAATAAATAAATTTATATGAATAAATAAAAGCCTTTCTGTGTGGCTTGAACTTCTCACAACATAGCAGCTCAGTGCCAACAGGCAGCATCTGGAGATCAGGTCTACCAAGAGAAGGAGGAGAAAGTCCTATGACCTTTTATGATCTAGCTTTTGAAGTCACATAGTGTCACTTCTTGTGTGAAGCAGTAACAAACCCTCTCAAATTCACGGAAAGGGAACATAGACTCCCACTTCTCCATGAGAAGGAATTTGGGGTCACCATCACATCCTACTGAATCTTCCATGAATATATAGATCACTCAGTGTACTTAGGCTGTCTTTAATTTCTGATTGTTTTGTAGTTTGCTGTGCAGAGGTCTTGTACATTTTTCATTGGCGTTATCCTTTGGTACCTTATTTTTTAAACCTTGCTTTCAGACCCAGAATGTGGTAAATTTTGATAAATGGTCCATTTGCGTTTGAATATAATATGAATCTGTTATTAGGTGCAGAGTTTATATATGTGCCAATTTGATCAAGTTTGTTAATTGTGCTCACAATATTTGCTTTTTCTCACAGCCATTATGGGTGATGTGTGCAAGTTTCCCGTTTATGATTGTGAAATTGTCTATTAGTTTATATTTGCTGTAAAGATTTTGAAGTCATATTATTGGATACACACACATACACACACGCATGCACAATACACTCATGAAATCGTGATGTTTTACTGGCAGAATGATCCCTTTCTCATTAAGAAATGTCTTTGTTTATCTCTAATAATGCTTTTGGCTTAAAGTCTATTTTAATATTAATATAGCTTTCTTTTTGGCTAGTATTTGCAGTGTATATCTGTCTCTGTTCTTTAACTTTGGACCTTTCTGTGTCTTTTTAAAAATGTCTCCTGCACTCATTATAGTGAGTTTAATAAAACCATTATTTGGTTTTATTTGATTTGGTTTTTATCCAATATGACAATTTTAGTATTTTAATTGGAGTATTTAGTCCTTTGCATTTAATGGAATTACTGATGTTGGTTGGGTTTCTACCTACTATGTTCCTGATTTATTTATTTATTTATTTATTTATTTATTTATTTACTTGGCCACGCTGCGTGGCTTGAGGTATCTTAGTTCCCTAACCAGGGATTGACCCCGGGCCACAACAGTGAAAGCGCCGAGTCCTAACCACTGGGTTGCCAGGGAGTTCCTGTGCTGATTTTTTTTAAACCATGTTTTATTTTTTCCTCCTTTCTTGCCCTCTTTTGGATTAATCAATTTTTATAATAGTCCCATTTTTTTCCCTCTAATAACTTGTTAGGGAACTTCCCTGTGGCGCAGTGGTTAAGAATCCGCCTGCCAGTGCAGGGGACATGGGT